TGCATGTTTTACGGATACAGGTGATCACTGGAGATGTAATTAGCTGCTGAAAATTACGAGCATTTATTTAACCAGAAAAAGAAGAAAAGAAGAGCAATTTTGGTAACGAGAACGTTTTGTCATTGCGTGAATTACCAATTACATCAACGATGGTAAGCCCATTGCAAAACCTTCCAGAGGGGCCGTCAGGAAAATCAACGCCATACGGTGCATAATCAACTTTGGCGAGAGTCTGGAGCATGTTGTTATTACCATTGTCGGCCAAAGAGTCTCCAAAAATGAAATAGCATGGGACCAGTGGATCTCCAGTAGCACAATGTTGCCACTTTGAAAACACCATGAACAAAACAAGTACCATCCACAGTCGCTTCATCTCGTGTGCCAGCATTGTCATCGAGCTTGAAAATTGAAAAACAGAAGGGAAGAAACACCCTTTAGCAGTAATGGCTCAATTTCAAGGGAGAAGGCGAGGAATGTTCAATGGTACTGTGAAACGAATGAAAGCCAAGGGAGGTTGATATAGCCTGTAGCTACTCACTCGGATCCTAGCAAGTGTTGTGCAGCTAAAGCAGTCAGGAGCCTGTAAGAAGGGATTGATAATTATGGACCAGTAGCCCTGACGTAGATTTTTGTGTTGTAGTACAGTGATGGCCAGCTCCTTTTATCATTATTGTACTTTTATTTATAGAAAAATATTGACTTGTTCAGATAAGTTTTTGGGAGAAATAAAAATGGAAGGACTTTTGTTAGGTGGAATGCAGTTTTTGTTTTTTTTTGTTAAATTGTTTATATGAAAAATAAATTTTTAAAAATAAATTATATTTTGATATTTATAATATAATAAAAAATAAATTAAAAAATAATTTTTAATATTAGCTATGCTATAAAAATTAAACTTAAAAATAATTTTTTAAAATTTTAAATTTTATTAAAAACACACAAACTAAATATGTTAAATAAAAAAGGTTAGGGAATGATGAAATTAAAAAAAATAAATTTATTAATTATTTTAAATAAATAATAATTAAAAAATAA